CTTTATCGCACATTAGGTCTGTTCTGGTTTTGAGAAATAACGATCCACAACTGTCGGGCTCATGCGCAGTAGATAAAAAGTGTTCTGGTTTTTCTGGGACTACTTCGGATTTCTCAGTCCAGTGTTCTGGTTTCGTATCCGAAATAATCCGTGATTGTTGTAAATAGTCAAAATGTGTTCATGCTTGGGAGTGTGGATCGACTCGGACTGTTTTGACCGCGCATGCGTTTTTGAAGTGTTATGAATATTGTATTGGCTTTTTAGACCATACGGAACGTATACAATCCCAAATTGTTTATTTATATGTGAACAAATGTCTATTGTTCTTGTTTTATTTGTAAATTAAAGCAATTTTGGAATTATTAATTTTTTTATATTATTCTGTTTTTATTTATTCCATTGAAATGTGATGATAATGATAAACATATAAATGCTAATGTTATTTGAAGCTGAGCTTTCAAAAGGAACTTCATTATTCATTATTATAATAAACAAAACACCTTTATGTGTTCTGGTTTTCCAACAATTTTAAACAGTCGGGGATTTTTTGCCTTTACGCATACGGTCCGGCGCAGTTTCATAACAGTTTTCATTTTGAGAACCAGAACAAACCTATTATAATTCTATCCTTTATTTATTTATCCTCGATTCGATTTCGAATTTCAGGTGTCAAAATTTAATGATCTGTGCTGTGGTCAAATCAAAATAATAAGTGATTTTTTTAAGAAAGCTCTTTACAAATAATTAAACCTTTTGGATTTTTAGCAACAATGCTGAATAATTAGATATTCAATATAATTAAAAATTGTGACCATCTGTTCTGTAATGTCTAAAGTGACCATAGGTCCCCCATTGAGAGGGACAGAGGCCCCCATTCATGACAAGTACCCCCCTTTGATACATTAAATACATAAGAAAAAATAACTATGTTTAACGGAGGTGGCACAGGAAATCAGTGGCTTAATATTAATATAGAAAAAAAAAAAAACTTAAAGAATACATTGCCCTTAGTATAAGAAATTAGACTACAGAAAAATTGCAGCTAGGTGTGGAAATCCTAAAAGATATTTTGGTGGTGAAATTCAGTATTGATAAAACTTGCCAAGAGTTCTAAGAATGATAGATTTTTAAAAAAAAGTTCATAAATTTGAGAAGTATCCGTAATATCAAAAATATTTTTTAAGTTCATACGTTTTTTCAAATGTTTAAGTGTAGTTAGTTTAATAAAAGTATTTTCAAAATTGCATTTAAAATTTCTCCATTTCCTCTCAAAAAAAATCTAGTCACTTTTTTAATATTAAAAATTTCAGTTTGAGTATCATAGCTTAAAGTCCAAATAAAAGATAATGAAATTAGTGTGATTTACAATATTGACTTATTTTGAGACTAGTTAGACAATGCATACTATAATGGGGATGCACTGTGAAAATACAGTAAATAAGTTAATTATTATATTGGGAACAATATCATCAGGTGATAATCAAATATATTCATGACAAAATAACTTACAAAGTTGTACAGTTAACTGCAGCTCAAACTAGTAATTACAAATTAGATACAAATTAAACTTATTCTAACAATTACAGAATTTTACTAGGAACCTGAACAATGGAAATAAACAAATAAAGTTTTAAGTTTCTTTTATTATTTATACTAAATTATAAAAGTATATCAACTAATTTATTTAAAAGGATATTTTCACCCAGTCTATGTTAAAATGGGACCAAGGCTGTTGAATGATAATCGGTGATGGATATCAGTATCTATTCAAAATGTTTACCACCCTTCTTTTCATACTTCTGAACAGTTTCTTCTCACTTATTATTTGTATTTAATTTAATATAACTCCTCCAGTACATAAACATCATGTAAACGATTTTGAATTCAACAATCCACCACATTCCATACTTTTAACAAAATCATTACTTATGGCCAGTTCCTGCCAACATACCTAAAACAATGATGATTAGAGTTTTTAACTTGTACGAGAGTCAGTCTCCGAAATGCTGTTCCTACCTGCTATTTTTTTAACAGACTTCAAAAAAGGAGTAGAGTGATTCTCAATTCATTAGAATATTTTTTTATGTATGTTCAGTACGGTTCAGTAGTATTTACCACGTTGTCCGATTTTTACAATTTCTTCTCTGTTAGAAAGGGGGTACCTTTAGTTTGGTCCTTTTTAAATGTAGTCAAGATCTGATGATGAGATCCATAAAAAAACAGGGTTCTTCATTTTTAGAATCGGTTTTTTAAATTTACTTTTATAACTTATATTACTCACTGATGTATTGGGAATTTGCACCTTGGGAATTTAAACCATGTGAATTTGCACATCTTCAACAGCTTCTGATATTATTGGAGGCTTCTCAAAGGTCTTTCCTTTACAAAACGTTGAACAAGTATTTGTTTATGAGGACAAAAGTAACACTTCTTTCTTTTGAAAACTGAAGTATGTATTTTTAACTGTGCTTTAAAAAGTGCCTTTCTGTTTTTATTTTGTCCTTCATGTTTTTCTAACAGTGTTATATTAATTTAAAATAGCTAACACAAATAATAACAACAAACTGTCAATACAAATTCGCAACCAACCGTGCAACCAACTATTTTCTATTTACATTTCGAGAAACGTCATAGATTACGTCACAAATTACAACCGCTGTCAAATTTTAGTAGGACCGCTGTCATTTATTTGTCAACCGGAACCGCTCGCGCGAGCTAAATCGAAAAAGGCTTTCCCCTGTAAATAGTTGGTAACAAGTTTGTTTGACCTCGACAGTAGCGCGCTAAACGCGTTATGATGAACTATAATTCGGTACAGTCGATAAAGTAGAAAACTACTAAGTAAAGCGATTTAAAAAATGGCGGGCTTCAAAATTTATGAAATTTAAAGCAATTTCAAGTAACATTTTTCTGTTTTACAGCTTTTACTTACAATAATTGAAACAATAAGTAAAATGAATTTTTATTGTAAGTAAATGCTGAAAAACGGAAAATGTCACTTGTTTTAAATGAAAAATAAAAACATTTGTAATAAGTTTATTTTATTTAGAATAGGTAACTATGTCATTACATTATATTAAACATCTTATTCACAATAAACACACAAAAAATTATTGCAGAATATAAATGTAAGATAACAATGTGACAATTATTTTACTATTAACAAAAACTGGGTACGAATTTAAAAAAATTATAATTGCAAAAAAATTAAAAAACAAAACAGTCATAATCTATAAATACAATTATTGTTTTAAAAATCCCTAGTATTGACATATTATTACATAAAATATAGGTAATTTTTCACAGAAAACAAAATAATTAATATTTACAATTAATTTAATAAAAAAAGTTATACCTACATTTTGATCTTAATTTTACTTACTAAGCCAATTAATTTTCCCTGATAAATTCAATTTTAATATAATAAAAGATGTAAAATTAAAAGATTGTCCAATTTACAAAAACTTTAAATTGTTTATTCTAAATCTCTGTAAAAGTTTATCAGGCAAATAAATTTTAATGAATGTTCATGCAACCCACTTAGTCAAGCATTTTTTTTCTGACTCTTTTATCCATTAATGTTCTCAAGCTCTATTGAGTTGCCTAAACATAAACGAAGACCAGTTGTTTTGGATAGGCAACTCTGACACTGTACCACTCTTATATCTTTTTACCCATCTATTTCAGTCCAGCTTAGTTGCAATGCCCATTGCAAAAGTCTCCATACCCAGGGATATCTAAAACAAAATAATAAAGGTGCAGTGTATCTTAAAATTAATAATTAACATAGGTGGTTTATATTGTTTTTTATTTGCTTAGAAATATATTTAGTTTTTTATAATAAAAGGTACACAAATTTTCAACAATTTCATCTGATTTATGCTCTTGGTAAGCGAACCATGGAAAATTAACATGTTAGTAAAATAAAATTAATTTTTTAACACTGCTTTCTATATGTCCATATTTGGGAGGTATTTGATAAAAATATTTATAAATAGTACCTAAAAAATTGAATAATTTCTTTTTGAACATAAATCAAATGCTTTTTTATCATATTCTTTTAAAGGTGTAAACCTATGATGAGGTTCTACAATACCTGCTCGTAAATTGCCTATACACACTTCCCATTTCTTACACGCGGTTTCTCTATTAAAGGTTTCTCGACACATTCAATTTTATCACTAAAAAATTCTAGCTTTCTTTTAGCTGAAGTTATATTTGAAAAAGATAGTTTAATCAAAACATCACTAATTACATTTATGTTTGTAAGTAAATTTGATGAAGGCATTATAAGTTAATGACATCCTTAGAACCTCAGTATATTTTTACAGCTATAAATTACTTAAATCTAAAATAATTAATTAAATTTTACTCACCTACATTTTCTAAGAACATCTGTCATTTTATAATACAACATAACCTAATTTATTATCAAAGCCAGATTTACACAACCTCTTAATATTCAAATTTAGCTTTAACTTTATATATTTATAATAATTATTCCCGTATTTGATCATATATTGTATTAAAGTGATATTTAAGAGATTGCATTAGTAAAGTTATTGATTTCTTTAATATTTATTCATTTTTTAATTATTATATGGGTGTAAAAACGGCTTTATATTTAGTAATCGCAGCGCGTGAAGCGCGATATGATAAACTACCAACAAGGAAACAATTCCCGCCTATTATTCAAACCTTCTGTTTTAGTTTTTCTATGGGTGATACAATAGGTTGTACAAAATAATCTGAAAAATCCATTAATAACTAGGCAGGAAAGTCATGTGTTGGACACATCAGTTTTTTTGTTGATATTCTTAAACATCTATAATATCCTTATGATACAATACCAGTACCGATATGATAATTTGATCACGACATTGAATAACTACCTTTTTCTCGACCTCTGAACTCGTTTTTTACTTTTATTCCAATTATTACAATACAAACGAATAGTAAATAATACTTCCTTGCCAGGTAGATAAATAAAACGCCATCAATGTCAATGTTAAGAAATTTTAATTTGAGAAAAATGATGATATAACACAAGATCAATAAAAAACAATAACTTAATCCATATGCAATGTTAACACCCTAAAACTACTAGACATTATGTAATAATGGATGTACAAAATATAACTATACCGTCATTGACTCTTACATTTTTTTTAAACAATTTCTGGCTGCTACTTTACCTAGTCGAATTCCGCGCAGGCGCAAACGAGACTCCGAAAAAATACATATTTATTGCGTAAATCCGTCTGCCCTAATTTCACATCAGATTCTAATTTTTATGTTATTCAGAAATTTATAAATTAACACTATCAGGCTCATTACGTATCTGTAAAACGATCCGTTTACATCAGCAATGACAAATATTTGTAAATTTACATTTCGGCATATAATCAAAATTTATTTACATATAAATTTCTCTATAAATTGTAACCGACTGATATGGCTCGAGCCGGACCTGTAACTTTTTTTATATAAAAACAACAAACATGTTTAAAAATTAACGATAACCATAATTTGTAAGATAAAATCAGTGAAATGAATAACTAAAAAAATCATGCAATTTGAAATTAAAATGTGATTTTTAAAAATAATTGTTTAAAACCTTTATTATTCAGTAAACAGAATGCAGGGTCGGCTCCAGTTATGTGACACGTTACGAAAAATACCAAACATTAACACAAAAAATGCAAATTTACAAATTACCTACCATTCGACTACTAATAATTATTTTACATTTAGAATATTTCTTGTACTATCGGAGTTGATTCAAAGTAAATTTACATTTCCACGATTATTTTGATTTTTTTTTTCGCTAAACTATCAACCAATTTCAAATAAATGTAAATTTACAACAGAGAAATGTAAACTTACATAAAAAAATCAATCAGTTCGCGTTTGCACCTCCGCAGGAACTTCTATGTTAAAATTTATTTAATTTGAGAATCTCAATTTAGAATTTGTCAATTTTATTCAAAATGGGGAGAAAACTGCTATTTTTTTTTACTTATATTCCTGTAAAGTATGAAACCACAGCCAGGGGTGATGACTTCACAAAAAGTCTCTGCTCACCAAGTTGGAGACACTTCATTGGTCGGTAATAAAAATGTTTTTTTATATATCACTACATATTGATGATGCACACAGACTGGGTTTTAGTTTTCACCCTCACCATCTTCCAGTTTCCGCTTCTTGCCCCTCGAAACTGAAAAGAAAAACCAATACGGCTCAAGACGACAATTCTCAAAAGATGAAACACATTTTTAAATAGAGCAAAAAACCTATAAAAACTAGGTTAAACAAGCAATTAAGTCTTTAAAACACTTACCATCCGCAGCTGGAGCGTCTTCTTCGGATTCAGCTTCGATCTCCTCATCCTCAATACCGTCTTCGTCCTCCTCCTCTTCGACGGCCTCATAGTCACCTTCATCAGACATCTCGTCTATGTTCTCGGAGTAAACCATCCCGAGACCGACATCGTCATTTTCCTCGCCTGATTCTGAGGAGGCCTCTTCCTCACTGTCATCGTCGTTGCCGTTGACCTCTTCGTCAAGGTCGCTGTCTTCTTCAGCCTCGCCGTCTTGTTCATCATACCTGTAGACAAAATCATCCCTAAGAAATTACATCCATTTTTTTTGTGTAACGTTATTGGTCTGTCAGATGAAATCAGCACACTGAGATCAATTGAAATCAACTAAAAAATGCCAGAATGGATGGAGAAAGACTGTATTACCATAAACATTCTACCTTCTCATTTCACGTTTTTAATTTATTTTGAAAGGGTGACTATTGTTAGGCTATCAAAAACGAATTTATTATTTTCATTTTATTAAATATATTACAAAATACTGTTCTTTAATTTCATTTTCTCTTGAAAATGCATAACATTGTTTAATAGTTTGAGATTGGTTATCGCAAAATTTCTCACTAAATGTTGAAATTGGGTATAGTGGAAAGTAAAAATTTAATCTTATCCAGAAGAAACGTTCTTTGGGGGATATGCAGACATATTCATTAGATATGTAATTGGATCTGCTATATAATGACCAATATATTTAATTATTTTAGGGAGCGTTCAAGTATTACGTAACGCAATTTTTGGAGATTTTTAACCCCCCCCTTCCCCCATGTAACGCGCCGTAACGTTTTTGTGAAGGTAAAAAAAAAGGTCAAATGGTGACTTGCAATTTTGAGAAAAAGAAACGTTTTAAAAAATGCGCGAGAAACTCTCTACGCGACTTTTCTGAAGGGTTAAAAAATAATAATGTTGCGTAACGCGCAGTTCAAACGCTCCTGTAACGCATCGTAACGTTTTACAAAACCCCCCTCCCCCTCCAAATTCGTTACGTAATACTTGAACGCTTCCTTAGTTGTATTGCAATCTACACCAATCGCATTAGTATTTTTTAAAGAACTTCTTGGGAATCTGTTCCATCATAGAATGTATTTTTTACATGCATGGTTGTGTAGCTATGAAAATTTGTATTGTCAAAATTATCTCTAACAGTGTTACTGGTGTTCGCAGCAAAAAAAAATAGCTACAGTTTTTTGTCAGATATTAATATGTCTTCAACAATGATCTGTATTGGCTTTATAGATTTGCTTTTGCCGGTTATAGTGTACTGTATTCCATATAATTTTTTGTTTTTGTTGAGGATTTTTGTTATCTAACAATTTTTGATAATGATCCTTTTTAGTTACATTTATTAACTGAACATAATCTTTTTTTTTAGATTTGTAATTTCTTAACAATTCTGAGCAGTCACAAGTTTTAGTAAGCCAATACAAATTTTTAAGATCATTACCTGTATGTATAATGTTTTTGTTTAGCCATTGCCTTGGAGTATTGTTTTTAACCATTTTTGTTCTGACAGGGGGACAAGTTACATCAATATGATATGAAATGATTCTAAAGAATGTATCAAAAGCATCATCATTACTGTCTAACTCATAAATGGGTGAAAAATCTACATTATTTAATTTTACATTAAGATTGTAAAAGACATCTCTAAAAGTTACTATTTCATTATTAATTTTTCTTTGTACACATGGGACGTTTTCAAGCATAACATCCAAGCCAAATCACCTAGACTAAAATCAACTAGTTTCAGTATATATAGGAAAATTTGTTAAAAAATAGTCTATATTAGATTTAGTAATGCGGTTGTTTTTATCTATATATACCCACGTGGGGTCGTGATTCTGACAAGTTAGGATAAAACTCTGAATAAGTAAGATATTTTTTAAGAATCTGTTAGAAAGTCAATGTTAAAATCTCCATATAAAAAACAACAACAACAACACGATTCAAAATATATGACAATTTTTCAATAAAAAGCTCAGTATCTCCAAAGGGAGATCTGTAGATGTTTATAACAATAGAGCTCATATTCTTTACAGAAAACGATATAGCACAGCTTTCGAAATGTATTTCTTCTGATAGGCTATTTATAACATTTATTAACATAAGCGATTCACCATAAATTTTGTTGTTCTAACATAAAAGAACAGCATATGATCTAGATTTGAAAAATGGACTTGAGTATTACTTGGTATTAGTGCATTAATTAGCTCTATAAATAGATATAATAGTACTCCTTTTGTAGTTACTTTTGGTGACCTGTCACTTTCAAAACTTTCCACCACCTCAGAACAACCGTGGAACAATTGACTAGTTTGGTGAGAACCACCAATAATAAATGAACGTGAATAGTATAATTAGCTCTAGAAATAGATATAATAGTACTCCTTTTGTAGTTACTTTTGTTAGAACCACCAATATTAAATGAACGTGAATCGAATATACCGAAAATACACCAGTGAATAAATGAACATAGTTTTTGCACTGGTGGATACATCAATAAATAAAAAACTCTCCTAATTGAAAGCAAACAGTAACTGAAAGAACAAATACCCCATTATAAAAATCGTTAAGTAAGAATATGTAAGTTTTTATTAATTTTGGGTATTAACCATGGCAAATGTTTGTCATTAAAAAATGTATCAAAGGAAAACGATCCACGCAATATTAATTGGTAAATTTATTGAATTTTTGTGTCGACTAAATCATTTTATTACACAAATATCGAATATTACATGAGACATATCAAAAAGACAGAACAATTAAATAAAATTACAATTGCAAGATGTACCTGACTTTTGACTAATATATTTAAAATTTCCTGACAATCCTTGATCTATTCAACCTATTCAAATATCCTGACTACCTAATTTTCCAGAAAGTGATGACCCTAATATTCTCTCACAACCAAGACTAGCTTGGTGCAGTAAAAAAAAAGTTATTTTCAGAAGCAACAGTTCCCGATCTTAAGCCAAATAATTCACTATAGCTCCGCAACAAGATAGAAAACAAGATCATACTAAAACACAAAATATTAAATAAAAAACAAATATTGTGACATATAAACATGAAACTAAAATAATACTGGAAGATACCAAGGAAGAAAACAATATCAACACTATAAAATGTTCACAATTGCTTTCATCTGGGATAAAGTTGACAGAGTGGGTACTATGAACTAACATGTGGTCAAAGACAAAGCCAATAGGCTGCAGAGTTATCAGATACCAAGATAGAAGAGTCCAGCAGTGTGATTCTCATCTTTCGATACATTTTGTATCGAGATACATATCTTCATTCAACAGATTGCAATTCTAATAGAATGTCTTTCCCTATTCAATAAGTAACGAGTTGAATTCACACATAAGAATCCCTATGCAGGAAACAAAATTACTTTCATCAACCCTAGGTAAGTACTTATATAAAAAATATATTACACTTATATATTTAATAAATAGTAAACATTGGTTTACCTGTGAAAAATATTTTTCAAATTTATTTTCAATAAATTATGTAATTTTTGAATGCAAACTCGGAACAAATATTTTTCCAGAATTCAAAATATTACATCTTTACTTACCCATCTAAATATTTAAGGCTGGGTATCAACTTAAACACTTTTTCCCTGTAGTTTTCAACAGTGGTCGCTTCATTGTTGAAAAGATCCAAATTCTTGAGGTTCTTCAAGTTCTTTAAAGGTTCCAATGTTTCCAGATCTTTGATTTTGTTGCCACTGAGATTAAGGTGGGTTAATTTCGGACTGGTTTCTAACAAGTTCAGTCCATTTGCTATCCTGAAAGCATGGAAAAATTTCGTTATTTGGGTTGGAATGTATATAAAATGGGGGTGGGAGTCACCTGTTATCACTCAATTCAAGTTTCTTTAAATTGGGGAGCTTAGGGAAGCCTTTGAGAGATGTGAGTCCCACATTGATGAGCGATAAACTTTCCAAATTGGTAAATTCGTCCGTCAAACCCACTATTGAAGTACTTCTGGAGTTGTCCAAGATCAGTTCTTTGATCTAAAATCAAACAATGTGCTCCATTAAAAAACCGATATTTTCCTAGTTTATCTAATAAACATGGTTCCTGTAATATTATTCAAGCAATTGAATGTAGAAAATATCGAATAAAATCTTTAAAACTGGAAACTGCTAGGTTGGTTTACATATTTTCGACATGGAGGTGACATTACCAATATTTTTATATTTTTTTATTAAACCGGTTGTATTTATGCGCATTTGAGACGCAAACTCGCTTCAAATAAAACATACATATTGTAAGAATCGTAATTAATTTCACATTTAAGGAATTCCACTGCCGGCATGGTCGAAAAAAGTTTTGATCAGATGAATGAAAAAATGACGACAGCTATAGTATGTGCAAAATAACAACAAAAATATAAAAATACTCACATCTTCAGGATTTTTGCCACGCTTCTCTAATTCTATACGCTTCTCCATCCCAAAATCTATTCGTTTTCAACACAAACGACACAAAATACACAAAAAGAAGCCAAAAATCTTAAAACGTAACCTAGCTGACAAACTGAGCTTTTACAAAACTCGATCAAGAACCGCGAAGAGTTCGAAGACGGAAGAGCATCGATTAGCCACCAAAGCGTTTTGTCAATGCAGCACTAGAGGGGTACCTACAATAACATTATGGACGACAGTGGCGGGAGAATTATTGACCAATAGAACGGTCGGATTTGATTTTAGGTTATGGCAACTGGTTCACAAGTTGCTTTTGATTTATATGAAAATTTAATTTAAAAACAATATTTTAAGAACAATTTATTTCATAATTAATAAATATTATTGAATAGCTATATTATTTTCACTAAAAAATCTTCGGTTATTTAGTATATCTTGAAAAGAACTGCTTTAAAGTCAAGAGGGGGCGTTACAAAATGAACCCGCCATTTTTCAAATAACATGTTTGAAAACACTGGATACACATGCGATTTTAAATAATTTTTTGGTAAAAAAAAGATTCATACTGATTTTGGAATTAAAATATTAATAAAAATCAATAGAAAAATGTTTTATTTCATGAAAAATTATAGGCTTCCTTTAAACAGGAAATTAATTATAAATTATATTTGAAATACAGATTCCATATTTCTTTTCGAATGTTGTAGTATCATTACTTGACAGTAGAGGGCGAGAAATACAAAATGTTTAAAGGAAATCTGTATTATGGAATTGTAATTCGAACATAATAACAAAGAGGGCAGAAGTAGTTCTGCTTTTGAGAACAAAATTAGGGGGACCTAAATAAATGTTTTAATTTTAATTTCTTGTACAAGATTTCATATAATTTCTTGGACAATTTAAATTGTGTAGTATTATACAGTAAATTGTTTGAAAAATTTGATTATGATACTGCACAATTTAAATTGTACAAGAAATTGTGAGGAGTGAGTGGCTCAGTGGTTAGAGTCTGGACTTGCGAATCCGAGGGCAGGGCCGGCCCCAGGGTAGAGCGATCCGGGCAGCCGCCTGGAGCGCAATGATCTAGGGGCGCCAAAACCATGGAAAATGAACATAAACTGATAAAAGAATTAAGTTACAGGCTTTTATAAAATGCACTAAAAAGTAAAGAATATTTTTTTATCATTTTGATATCATATCAATAAATTATTTTCCATAATAGTGCATTGTCATCGGACCCTTGTACGTATACCAAATTTCATTGAAATCGGTTCACTGGAATTTTCTCAAAAACGCGTTGCAAGATTTGACTGATAGTTGACAAGATTAAGAGGCGGCAGGTGGAATTTAACATTTTTATTTCTAAGCACATAATTCAAATAATATATTATATTTAAACATTAAGGCAAAATCTAGTTGAATTAAATTCAACATGACAAAAACACTCAACCCACCGCCTTTCAAGAATTGACAAGTTTTTCGGCCTGTGGCAACACGACTGTACAGAAAACAACAATTTTGAAACCAAGCGAAACAAGATCTAACAGAACAGCCCTTTTTAACTGCATATAAAAAGGAAGTAGACTTAAAACAATGCATTATTTGCCATAAGACTTCGACTGGTGCGAAATAAAATAGTTTGTTTAAATTGTTAGTGCAAAAAAGCTTTAAAAAAGTGCCTGTGCAAATTGTCCAATGCGTTTGGCTTCTGTGAATGTAAAGTGTTTTAATTTTTGTTCCCATTTTTAAAAACTAAAAAAATCCATCAGACATAAGCCCAAAAAAGGGCCCCCAGTAGATTTCAAAAATTAGAGTTTAGATCAAAACATGGCTTGTGTGGTATCAAATGAAAGGTAATTGAGTCTGGAGTTAAATAAAATGCATTTTATTTTTTTAAGCCAGTGACGCACAAGGGAGATTTCAAAAATTAGAGTTTCCATCAAAAAATGGGTTGTGTGGTATCAAATGAAAGGTAATTGAGTCTGGAGTTGAATGAAATACATTTTTTTTTAAGTCAGTGACGCATAAGGGGGGAATTTCGAAAATTAGAGTTTAAATCAAATCATGGCTTGTGTGGTATCGAATGAAAGGTAATTGAGTCTGAAGTTGAATAAAATACATTTTTTTTAAGCCAGTGGTGCACTAGGGGGATTTTAGAAATTATAATTTAAATCAAATCATGGCTTTTTTGATATCAGTATTATCTTTTATTTTAATTAATTTGTTCCAGAAACCAAAATGTCCGATGCTAAGAGAAACCCCTCTCGGAGCTAATTTAAAAAGCGGAGATTGAACAAGCAAACACAGCTTCAAAAACAGTCAAATGCGCTGCAGAACTTCTTAAAGAAGGTAGTTTCAACGCTCCCACAACCGACCAACATTTGAACAACGCCCAGCACCTAGATACTGACTTTCCGGATATGGACCCCCCCCTTTGGACGCAACCGTCAGAATTACTGAGCTGGGTAAGTCATCTTAAACGAGTTCGGCGAGTAGTAATGCAGTTCCGTGCAGTTCCAAAAATCAAAATTCGCAAGTTGTGCAAACCTCAGAGAAACATTTAGAAAAGGCTACCGTCCAAAGTATCTCTTTTGACCCAGGATTATGGAACGAAATCATGCGTGCAGCAGATAGAGTTTTTTTGGTTAAACGTGGTCCAGCTGCACCTTTGTATAATTTTGATTTTCCTTTTGATGATCAGCATAGAAGATTCTCACCAAAACATTATAAGAAAAGGCTTAGAAATGGAGAAGAGGTTTTAAGAGAATATATGGTATATTCCGTATTTCAAAACACTGTGGAAGCATTTAGGGGACTCTTTAGCACATCATGAAAATGCTAAAACTCATATAGATTGTTTGAAATCATGGCTTGAATTGAAACAAAGATTGAAAATAGGTGAAACAATAGATGGAGTTTCTCAGATATTCTGAGATAAATCATTGGTCTGAAGTTCTTTTACGCATTATATCAGTCGTTAAAATGTTAGGTGAGAGCTTTCTAGCTTTTCGAGGAACAAGCGATAAACTGTATGAACACAATAATGGAAACTTTTTGAAGTTAATTCAGTTATTGGCTGAGTTTGATCCAGAAATGGAGGAACACGTTCGCAGAGTCCCCAATAAAGAAGAAATCAAAGCTGCATATCTAGGGAAAACTGTACAAAATGAAATAATCGGAGTTCAAAAGGCCAAGTATTATTCCGTGATTCTTGACTGTACTCCCGATGCAAGTAAAGTAGAACAGATGACATTTGTGGTAAGATTTGTCTCCATACAGGAATCAGAGTCTGAAGTTAAAGTTAATATCAATGAACATTTTTTGGGTTTTCTACCCATTGAGAGATCAACAGCTAAGGAATTGTCGGAGGTTTTACTAGAAGAGCTAGAAAAAAATAGGCTTAAAGTAGAAAACATGCGCGGTCAAGGGTATGACAATGGTTCCAATATGAGAGGAGAAAAATCGGGAGTACAAACAAGAATCAGAAATATAAACCCCAGAGCATTTTATGTTCCATGCAGCAGCCATTCGCTAAATTTGGTTGTAAACGATATGGCAAAATCCTCGTTTGAGGCAACCAACTTCTTCAGTATTGTTCAAAAGTTATATACATTTTTTCTTCCTCTTCTTTTCGTTGTGCAATATTACTGAAATATATTGAAACGTACACCCTAAAACCATTGAGTGATACGCGATGGGAAAGTCGTGTCGACTCATTAAAAGCTCTGCGGTTTCAAATTGGTCCAATTCACGATGCTTTGTACAGCATATATGAAGACTCAGAAATCAATAATATAATCAGAAACAAGGCTAGTGGATTATTAAATATATTGAAGCAGTTCAAATTTATATGCTCTGTTGTGATCTGGTACAAAATTTTGAGCTAACATTTGCAAACTGTAAATTTTAATATGTCACAAGCTATTGATATGCTTAGCAACTGCAAACTTTTCTTTGAAAACCTGAGATCAGATGAAGCTTTTGAAAGCATCATTTTAGAAGCAAACGAGTTTGTTTCAGAGATTGACGTGGAAGCTAATTTCGAAACCACCACACCACGTCATCGTGTCGGAAGCAAAACAAGAACGTGTTTGTATGAGGTCCCGGATGAACCCGTTCAAGACCTCAAACAAAAATATAAAATAGATTTTTTTTCACACTATAGATAAAGCAATAAATGCCGTGGAAACCAGATATAATTTGCTAAATACTGACAGTAATTATTTCAGCTTTTTGTATAATATTTTTGGTCTAAAAGACATGCCCAGAAATGAGCTACTGGCTCATTGCAAAGATTTGGAAGTAGTTTTAACTGATGGAAATTCAAGCGAGCTTAACGCCCTGGAACTAGCCGATGAAATAAGCATTGTTACGTCATTATTAACAAAAAAGGAAACCTCTGTTGAAGTTCTCAAGTTTATCGCTACACTTAAATTCGCACCAAACCTCAGCATAGCATTAATACTCTTACTTACATTGCCAGTCACTGTGGCTTCAGAGGAAAGAAGCTTTTCAAAACTAAAAATAATACAAAAATTATCTCAGAACGATGCAGACGCAAAATCGTCTCAATGGATTGGCAATGATAGCTATAAAACAGACAGACAGACGGACGGACGACGGACGGACGGACGGACGGACGGACGGACGGACGGACGGACGGACGGACGGACGGACGGACGGACGGACGGACGGACGGACGGACGGACGGACGGACGGACCGACAGACAGACAGACAGACAGACAGTACAGACAGACAGACAGACAGACAGACAGACAGACAGACAGACAGACAGACAGACAGACAGACAGACAGACAGACAGACAGACAGACAGACAGACAGACAGACAGACAGACAGACAGACAGACAGACAGACAGACAGACAGACAGACAGACAGACAGACAGACAGACAGACAGACAGACAGACAGACAGACAGACAGACAGACAGACAGACAGACAGACAGACAGACAGACAGACAGACAGACAGACAGACAGACAGACAGACAGACAGACAGACAGACAGACAGACAGACAGACAGACAGACAGACAGACAGACAGACAGACAGACAGACAGACAGACAGACAGACAGACAGACAGACAGACAGACAGACAGACAGACAGACAGACAGACAGACAGACAGACAGACAGACAGACAGACAGACAGACAGACAGACAGACAGACAGACAGACAGACAGACAGACAGACAGACAGACAGACAGACAGACAGACAGACAGACAGACAGACAGACAGACAGACAGACAGACAGACAGACA